GCAACATGCCCACCACTAGCAATGCATCTTAGGTCCCCTCTTTACCCTGTTGGTATGACCCAATACAATGAAGAATTCAACATTCAGGGTTGGCTTTAACATTTCATTAAAAACAAACATTTTGTTTTTATTAAGCTATAATATACCTAAAGAATTCTGAAAAGCCAACACCAAGATTGGCATGTTTTCTGGAGATCAGTAAACTACCTGCCAAGAGTTTTTGGTTAATTCATTAAGACAAAGATCTCTTTCTCTTTCTTCCTTTCTTCCTTCCTTCCTTCCTTCCATCCTTACTTCCTTCCTTCTTTCCTTCCTTCCTTTTTCTCTTTTCTTTTCTTTCTTTCTTTCCATCATGTCCAGAAACCTCAACATGTCAGAGTCTCCATATTGAACACATCCAGGGAGCCAGACCCATGCTAACTGTACTCACAAAAAATACAATTATAACTAAAATGTCTTTGTATTGACAAAACAACCAAAATTGTCACAATGAGCACCAGGCTCCTGTGGTGGTAGCCAGTACATTCTTTCCCTGCAGGCAGAACAAGTGGGAAACCAAATTATGAGCAGAAAGTGAGTACAGAATGAAAACAAAAGGAGATGTCTATCCTCGAGGAATATTTTATCCAGGACATGAGAGGCCTGATGAAGGTGCCTTTTTTTTTTTTTTCAAGCATGAAACAACTCTCTGGTTATATGTACATATGTACATCATTCATTGAATGACACATATGGCCACATACTTTTTCTTCCAGATTCAAATTGTGTCTCCCAGTCTTGTTTACTAACCTCCACCTCTCTGACATGCTTGTTTTCTGTGATATCATCAAAGCATGCTCCCTAAGTTCACACTTCTTTCACTGCAGTGAGATTGTGAAGGGAAGCAAAAGTCATAAGTAGATGAAAATATTTATTAATGATATGACCATTTACAAATTAGTTACCGTTCAAACATCTTTTAAACATTAGACTCCCCTCCTCCACTCCCCATGGTGGTAAACATTTATAATCCAATGCAAATAAATTCAGTTCTATTGCAAAGTGAAATTGCAAATCTTGCAAAAGGTGTAAGGTTTCATGGTATCAATGAGAGTGAAGTTGGTAAAGCAACTGGCAAATGAGGGTCTATAGAGTTAAACAAACAAGTGAAAGTAAAATCAACAGGGATGAGGACTATATTGATGCTTCAGAAGAAGAGAAGAAAATACTTTGAAAATTAAAAAAACAAATGAGACCCCTGGGAAAACTGATGAAGCCCTCAAACATTTTTACCAAACAACCCTCTTTTTGATTATGGCGTAAAAGTCAAATATGAAATAGAGCATGTTGTAAGGTGCTTCACATTTGTTAAAAAAAAAAAAAAATAAGCCAACAATAATCTTCTTAGTTTATTGTTTATTCATTCCATAATTAGCACACAGTTGGACTTACAACATAAATTTTGTTCCATAAAAGATAGACTAAATGTATTTTAATAACATTGAGTTTTATTTTCAAATAAAGTCCACTTTTCACCAATTGCTCTGAAATTTAGTCCCTGTTTTAAATAGATTTATTTTAAGGAGGCTTTAACAGTGCTAATCACACAGTGCTAATCAGGACTTCCTGTACTAATGAATCAGACTTTTCTAGTAGAAACAATCTGATGTCTTGGTTGTATCTATTTACATATTACATTTTTACTATGTTGTTCATAAAATAGTTCCATTTCTTAGTTTTGCCAGGGGAGGAGGTGTTAGCATTATTTACTCTTAGGTATTTCCTGTGGGATAACTTCCAAAGGGTGATATTATTAAAAGTAATATTAGTGTCTTATAAGGTAACATATGCAGAGGACACAGACTTTGGAGTTATCTTGGATTCAGACTTATATTTGAATCTGCTTCTGCCACTTAACAGACTTACGGTAATGGGCAAATTATGTGCCCTCTTTGAACTTTGATACCTTCATCTGTGAAAATGGAGCAATGATCACTCCGTCACAAGATTGTGGTGAAGACCAGATGAGAACATGTACAAAATGCCAGGTACAGAGAAGGCATTCAATATGTGGTACTTAAAGCCATGCTGTTTATTTTTGGTTTGTCTGACTGCCAAATTTCCCTTGTGATCTTAATTTGTTGATTATTTTGTACATTCAGATTCTTTGCATGTGTTTTGCAATGAGAACCTAGGGTCTTTAGGCTATAAAAAGTAGCTAAATATGACTGATATTGAAAATGTGATTTTAGGAGTGCCTCACTGCATAAATCTCTTAGAAAGAATTCTAAAATATTCTATAAAGCTTTGAAAAATGTCAAAATGAGGTCTTCAGGATTTATATTGTAAGATTTTGGTTGAATTCTTCTTTAAGTTGGATGAATGACATTTACATGGAGAAAAACCTCAAAGGAAGCCCCCCTTTTCCACACCCAAGCATTTTTATAAACAAATCTTGACTTAAAACAAGAAACTTAAAGGCTTTCCCCACACAGAGATCCCCATGCAAAGCACAGTCTTGAAAGTCACATGCTTCTGGATTTGAACCCCTGCTCAGCTGCATCCTAGTTGTGTGACCTTGACCAACTTAATATTTCTAAGCCTGGGTATTCTCATCCATAAAGCTGGAGGTAACAAAAGTACCTACCTCAGGTTGTCATGAGGGTGAAACGAGACATTGCGTATAAAAAACGTTTATGTGTCCATACAGCCTGGCACACTGGAAGTGTTTAACTAGTTAACTATTACCTGTAAAATCTTCAAACTTACAAGTTAACAAGAATGTCGTATTTTGTTCAAAAATGGTAATGGTGTAACACAAAAAACAGAAATTAAGTTCACTTGAGTTCAAACATCAAATTATATGCTTTGGCTTTGCCTTGCCTTCTGCCTCTTGAGTTCCCAGTTTAAGTTTCTTTCCTTTCCTATTCACTCAAGAACTTGTTTTCTACACCAGGGCTTTTCAATGGTCTTTTCCCCATCCTCCCCTTCTCTCCTCCCCCCACACAATAGGAACATTACATTTGTAATACTTATTACAAATTGGCAAAGGGCTTCTACCTCTCCTCTTTCTCTAAGACTCTGGTATGTCCCCCCATGGGTCTGATTAGCTCAGATATATTATTTAGTTTACTTAGCTAAAACCAGGAGATAATGATGGCTAACATTTAGTATCTACCTAATAGACCCATATACAATGCTAGGTGAGTTACAAATGTTACTTTGATTCTTCATAACAACCAGGCAAGGCAGATACCACTCTTTATATTTCTGAGATGGATAATTAGAGGGTCTGAGCCAGTAAGCTCAAAGTCACATGGCGAGTAAGCATCAGCACGAGTGACCATAAGGATCAAGTTAATGCATTAATTGGGATATGATGGTTCTAAGAAAGGCCCATCTACTTCTACTTCTGGGAAAGGCCCATCTGGCCTTTCAAAGAGAGGCCTTCTCATACTGGTGCTAACACATATGTGTGCTAGCATGATATCACCTTGTTTTTTTTTTTAAAGATTTTATGTATTTGACAGAGAGAGACACAGCGAGAGAGGAAACACAAGCAGGGGGAGTGGGAGAGGGAGAAGCAGGCTTCCCTTTGAGCAGGGAGCCTGATATGGGGCTCAGTCCCAGGACCCTGGGATCATGACCTTAGCTGAAGGCAGACGCTTAACGACTGAGCCACCCATGTATGACGTTTAACCTTTTTATACCATTTATCCCCTAGCACCACAAATGCGCTTACATAATATTAAATGCACTAACATCTTTGCACATCCCATGCACATAAACTCCAGCAAATATGCCGGTTAGATTCCTACAATGGATGCTGCTGTAGATCTGACCATCAGAATTCCAGACATCACAAAGTAAATAAACTAGACTTTCCTCAAACCCAGTAATTCCTTTTTAATTTCCCCTGGCAAGTACTGATTTCGAATTGTGCTCGTTCTATAAAGCAGAATTTTGCAAATATTCTGATATGGAATCCCACATACTCAGAAGGAGGGAAAGCTGAGAAGGGCGATTAAGGTCAATGTGTTTCTTTCATTACGGGTAGAATTAAGTTTCTCATCTGAATAAGTACCGAATTCTGCAGTCATTCCAAAAATGTAAGCTTAGCTCACAGAGCATTTTGAGGAAACTTGAATGACACTAACCACATAAGGTCAAGCACACAACTGGTCGACCCTAAAAAGGAAAAAAAAAAGTGCGTTGTGCAAGGTTTTCATCTAAGAGATGAGAGTATCTGTCTATGTATTTCTATATGCCAGCTCCAGAGTCCGATCCGGTTCCGCCCCTCACCACCGCAGCTCGGCAGCCACTTGGGGAGCCTCAGGTTTGAGCCCCCCTCCCTCCCCAATAAGCTGCCGGCTTCTGCCTGCCCCCTGCGTCTACCCGGGCGCCTTCCGTTCTCTCGGACTCGCACTCCAGCGAAACGTCCCTTTTCGATCAACTCTAACTGGGAGACTGCCTCCCGGCGCGGCCCCCGCGCGGGGTCCCAGCGCAGGGCTGGCGGGTGGTGGCGTGCACCCGGGCGCTGGCGAGGCGGGGACTGCGCGCCGCGAGCGGGGCGGGGGGGGGGGGGGGGGGGCGGCGGGCGCAGGTCGCTCTCTCGGCGCCGCTCTCCTTTGTTCGGTTCCATTGTGTGCCACTTCCTCCTCGGGCGCTTCTTCCTGCGCCCTGGCAGCCTGTGGGCATTTTGTGAAGGGGCTTTTGGTGCCTTTTTTTTTTCTCGTTTTATTTCTTAGTAAGTGAGGCCCTCCTTTGCCCGCCTGTCCCTCCCGGCTCTCCAGCCCCGGGCCCCGGAGCGAGGCAGAGTGGGAAGTGTCAGTGCCTCCTCCCCCACCCCCGACGGCGGCTCCAACGGGCTCCCGCCCCGCTCCTCCTCCAGGAGGCATCCTAACCCCGCAGTCTGGACTTTCACCTCCAGACCGGCCGCGTCCCCGCCAGGACGGCGACACGCGACCCCGCCCCTCCGAGGGACGCAAGCTTCAGGCGCCCGGGGCTCCACCAGGCATCGGAGCGAGGGTCGGAGGCCGGCGCTCGGCCCAAGCCCGGCCGCCTTGGCGTCCCAGGAGCCGGCGTGAGTGTCGCCGCGGCCCTCCCCGTCCCTCGCGCTCGCGCTCCCCGGCCGCCGCGCAGCCGCCTCAGCCCCCTTATATAGCCCTCTAAAAATAGCTCGCCTCGCGCCGCCTTGTAAGGCAGCAGGGAGATCTGCAGTCTGCCAATCCGCGCTCGCCGCCAGAGCCAAGCCCCGCCCCGGACCCCGCTCCGCGCTCCCCATTGGTCCTCAGTGACTTCATGAGCCCCCTGTTTACCTTACATGGTCACACGCGGCCTAATGGACGCCCTCCTCCGAGATCCCACGGCTGCGCGGAGAGCCGGGCGGAGGGGGGAGTTTGGGGAGGAGGAAGAGCAGGAGGAGGAGAAAAGGAGGGGGGGAGAGACTACAAACTAGCAAGGATGGGGTGGGGGGTGGGGAGGGAAGGGAAGGGGGGGAGAGAAGCGATCGCGAGAAAAAAAAAAAATGCAACCTCCCAAAATAAAGCGCAAAGATTGCATTAGGAGCGAACAGCGCTGCAGAAATAGATGGCAGCTTCGTGTCAGTGAGTTTGCATCCCCCTTCCTGATCCACGAGCTGGAGTGATTAGAGCCCTGGAAGGGAATTGTTACTCCCGTGGAGAAGTCCCCTTTTCCTGGCAGCCGTCTGCACTTGTACATGCTGGATGCCTCTCTCCATCCACCCCACTCACTCTCTCCTCTCTCACCTCCTCTCTTCCTCTCTCCTGCATTGATTTTTTTTTTTCCTTTTTAGTTGACTGAAACAAAACAAAACAAAAGGGCCACTGGATGTCTGCCTTCTTGGGGGGTGAGCCAGACAGACTGACAAACAAACAGACCCAACTGTGTTCGGGGGAGGGTTTCTCCTCCCGTTTTGCCCGGCAGCAGCAGCATGGACGTGTTGGCTAGTTATAGTATATTCCAGGAGCTACAACTTGTCCACGACACCGGCTACTTCTCAGCTTTGCCATCCCTGGAGGAGACCTGGCAGCAGGTGAATGATTTAAATTACTTGTGTAAATCGTGTGGTGGCGGCGGAGACGCAGGGGCTGCGTTGGTGTGGGCTTGGGGTTGAATTTTTTGTTTGTTTGTCTTATCCCCCCCCCTTTTTTTTTGGCTGTTTGTTGTTTAAAATGTTTTCGGAAACAGTCATCTGCGCTTACCTCTCCAACCACCCTCTAACCCCTTAGTGTGCTGAGCTGAGCAGCCGGTCTGAGCTGCCTGCGTTTCAGTCACCAACACACATCCTTGCGCACACGTTGTCGGGCTCACTGTCCCCAGCACAGACCTGCGTAACTTCTGGGGTTCGGGGGAGCCGGGTGGGAAGGTGGTTTGGGGCTTTATGAGCTACTGATGACAGGATACTGCGTCCCTACATGCCTGAGCTCTACCTACTTGGTACCTTAAATCAGGTTCAGTTCCTTCAACTGGTGCTGAAGACCGTCAGATGGGGGTCAGGAGGTAGGAGCATAGCGGAGTGTTTTCCCAGTAATTAGCGCGTGACAATAAAAGATAGAAACTTGATTTTGAGATGAGAAGGTGGGCAGAAGGGAGAGGAGCCCAGTGACAAAAGATACTCAAGGATATCTAGGAGGAGGAAGGGAAGATATATCTATCTAACGCTGACCATGCATTGTAGATTTCCCCAGCGCAATGCCTCTATGTGTGTCCTTGTTTCTCTTTTTTGTTTGGGGTCCCTCCCTGGTTAGAAGGCACACAGCCTCTGACAAAGGGTGGTGTGTGCTTCCATGCCTCTGACTTTGTCTTAGAGGACTAGTTAAGAAACTCCTCTGATGCTGAAGGGCACTGATGCCAAGTTGGCTAGGCGTCCCACTGAGGGCAAAGTGGGTCTGGTGACAAGTTCACTGGGCTTTATGAAGTCGAATAAAGAAAGTGCTGGTCAGTGGAAAGTGCTAGATCTGCTGCGGAAACAGTCATTTTCTCAGCAAGGATTAGGAACTGCTAAAGGGACACACTGCAGGAAAGATGGTGGGTGGGGGGCAGGGGGGTATGGGTATTCTTTAAAAATACTCCAGTGTGCACCATGGAACGTCCAAGAAGACAGTCTGGATTTGCACATCGGAAGTGTGAACTCGCACAGTCCGTCTTGAAGAAACCAGGCTGCCCTTGGGGAGGACTGCGAGAGGCTTGGTGTGTGGCTGCTCATGTAACTTCGCTCAGTGACAGCAGCTTGTTAAGGCTAATGAACGGCTGAATTTCTTCTGCCAGGATCCAAAGCAGGATTTGCCAGCTTGAGGCTGGGATGTAACAGTTGCTGCTTTAGCGAGTGAGGTTTGGCTTTGGGTATAGGGAGCAGAGTGGCAAAGCTGATCCTCTGACTGTACCTTTGTTACTAGTTGCTCTTCTCCCCTGATTAGAGGCGGTGAGTTTTCCTCTGGGTGCTGGCCTCTGCTGTCTGTGTGGCCACCATCCGTTGCTGCCCAAGGATGCTGGCAGAGACCCTCGACTTTGTCTCTGAGTGCACACATAGTTCACGCGTTCTTAGTGCAAGGCATTTCTTCAGTGCATCCTTTCCCCATCCCTAATGAGGCTGTCTCATGAAGGGTCTCACTAGATCTTTTCCTCCTTTTATTTCACATGCTAATGAAGCCAAAATGTTGCTAGAATTTCATTTTCTGAAATAGCTTTCATTTCACATTGTCAGCCCACTGGTGTCAAACTGGTTGCGTATTAACAACTGTCTAGACAGGTTAGGGTAGGGAATCTGTTGATTTAGTCAGCCTGCCCAAGGCAGCCCTTGTTTGTGACTAACTGTTAAGCAGTGTTGGAGGGAAGAAAGTTGGCTTTATTTGTTACAGCGTTCCCTCCTGATGAATCACACAACTTTGTTTTGGTTCAAGTTTTCACAGTAGTAAAGCCTGCTTTTGGGGAAGGCCTCTTCAGAGGAAACCTGCTTTTCTAGATCTGGTTAGACCATCCAGGAGAGAGTCTGGATCTGTAAAGAAACATCACTGGTTTGATAATTAGGGATGTATTAGATCTATTGTTTCCTCCGAAGCCTCCTGTGCTTTTCCTTTCCCCTCCTCCTCTCTACTTGCCTCCATCAAGGAACCTCTAGCTTAGTTTCTATCTTCAGGCCAAGGAATCTCACCCCCCACTTCCCCACACCTCCCTCCTTACTTCTTGCCTTCACCCTCCCCAACTGGCAACTACTCTTACCTTAAAACTCATTGCCAAGCTATTTGAGAGGCATGCTCACAGTCACACTGAAACATAAGTTGTGGGGAAGCACTCCTAAATAAGATATCACTCCAAGGAGCTTTCTGCTCCGGGCTCTGTAGTCACAACCGCGCTCTTGAAAGGTGACTGAGACTCTAAGTTCAAGCTGATGACAAAACCTCCAACCTCCATCTCTTCCTTCCTCCCTCTCTGGTCCCCCCCCCCACTTCTGAGTGTAAGGAGGGGGGATGGTTACATGCAACTGACAGGACCAAGTCAACCATCAGATGGTGAAATTTTGAGACTCCTTTGCTCAAAATGGCTTAAGAAGATTGCTACAAAGAACCCCCAGACAGGAGGAAGTTTCCTGATGCTCTGGGGTAATCAGATTTTAGAGGTCAGATGAGGAGCAATTATTAGATGTTCTCTGAAAGTGAACAGTGTACCTGGCCTTGAGGAGATGAGCAAAATACAGAGATTCCAATAATCTGATTTGGTTTGTAGAGAAAGAGTGGCTTGGATGATAAACCCAAGAACATCTGTGCATTTGAAAATTAAGGATGGACTCTTTGGGGATTTTATTTTAAACTGTGGCCTGGGGTAATTGTCCTGCGTAACAGTCAGTGAGCTTGGGATGGTCCTCCTGTCACGGGGGTCGTCATTTTGACATTGGGCTTTCAGGCAGTGACGTCTTTCGCAACATACAGCTCCAACTCTGAAAACCATTGCCGATGTAATTTTAAAATCCAGATGGACATCTTACATTAACAGCTCTCCATTCCTGGGCTCTGACTGCATACTTAAGCACTTGGCCCAAGTAACATCATCTCTGCCTGTCATATAACTGTAAATTACACTGTGCTTATGTGGTCTATTATTTTATGGAATTCAGCTGACGCACAACTCTTAAGGCTACCAGCCTTAAGTTCTTCGGAAACTTGCAGGAAATTTTCCAAGAGCTGTGTGAGCAAAAGTAGGAAAAAGTCAAACGTAGGACAAAAGCCGGAGTAGTTTATAGGGTGCCACTTGATGATGGATAAAGGGAAACACATTCATGAGTTTTGTTGCCAGTATAAATTGTGATTTTTCTGGACCCACTGCTGACTTGGAAAATAAAAAGAATTTGATATGATACCCTTGGTTATTTTTCTCCAAGAAGCTACAAAGTCTTAGAATTTGGATAGATTTTGTATACCTAGTCTGCTCTTTTCACGAGTGCAGGTCAAGTAATGAAGTTCTGAATCTTATTTGCACGCAGCTTTGCTGCATGCCATTGAGGAGCATGGCATGGTTACTTGAAAACTCTTACGGAATTATGCTTGTTGTTAATGCTGATTCATAATTGGCAGATGGGGTCAGTTTCAGGCCTCCTTTTTGCTCAGAGAAAATTTTCCACTGCTACTGGAAACAAATAAATAAATCATAAAACATTCCTCCCTCCTCCCCCATTCCCCCATTGTTTTAAACTAATGGCATACTTGGCTACTGTAGGAACTAAAGTGTCCCCATAACACTGCAATTTCATCTTGGTTTCAGGCACCCTGGAACGCTTTTTACAAGGCCTTTGATATGAGGCATCTCTAGGGGACAACCTACAAAAATGGTTGCCTTCCAAGAACAGCCTCATGATACAAGGGATGGGATTTGTTCTGTGAGCTACATTGCTTCTTCCTCTTTCTGGTGATCTTGCCTTTGCACTGCCTTCTATAGGCCTGAGCAGCCAGGTGCTGTCTCAGCCAGAAAGACAAAGCAAACTGTAGGGTCCCTGCATCTGCAGGTTTGCCTCTATCCCCAATTTGCAGAAAACCTTGTCATGAATTAGAATTTCTTGGCAACAGCACCACCCAGGGAAATTTGTAGACACAAAGGAGCCTTGCTAACCACACTGAAAGGATAAAATAGCTGGCTTTTTTTTTTTTTTGTATGTTATTTGTGTGCTCTTCAGTTACCATAAATCTTTTTTTTTTATTTGAAACAATGACTTGGTAGATGAAAAAAAAAAAAAGAGAACTGTCCCGTTATTCAGATTTTCTATATAAGGATGCAATCACTAAATAAATGTAGCTTTACAAATGAGAGCACATGTGAGTGCAATCAATCACACACTTAGCCTTTCTTTAATAGACTCGTTTCCATGTTTTTTTAATAGATACATCTTTTTGTAGATTTAGGGGCTCACAAACATTATCATTCCGTCTATCTGTTTGCAGTTCGGTATTTTAAAGTGAGTGAATGTTACTCTGCAGATATTTTTACTACATCTGTCTTTTGTGGGGGGATAAAGGAAGTGGTGACTTCTTTGTTCTCCATGAAACTCCCACCCCCCCACTCCCTACCCTGAGGAGAATGTGATGTTGGGGTCCAATCCATTTAAAGGGCAGAGCAGAAGATGCACTGTGACAGCCTCACCCTGAAATGATTTATGTTATGGGTATGTCAGAGACCTTCAGTGCTCCGATGTGGGCTCTTCCTCTCTTCCAGCCCATTCTAAATATAAATACCAGTGGGGGCTATTTGCCTCTCTGCTTAAATGGGAAGAGTTTAGAGAGGGTCCTAATGGGGCTTTTAGTAGCCGCTCTTATAAATCTTCAGATTCTTCTCCCTTCAGAGGATTCCTGATTTTAACTTTTTGAGTACAAGAAGGCATTGCAGTCTTCTTGAATCACTCCATGCTCATTGAGCAAAGAAGGATACGATTTACTCTGGCCAGCCCCCACTGGCTCGTGTTGATGGAAAAGCTGATGCCCCCTATCTCTGCAGTTTGTAGTAGTGCGCAAGGGTTTTTTTTTTTTTTTTTCTTTTCCTCCCCTGTGC